ATCCACATAGCCAAAATGTAAACAAATCTGTGGAGGGATCTTTAAAGGCTTCTGGGGCAGAGCCCTAAGCGAATTGACTTCGTTTTTCTTTTGATAACTCATCTACAGACCAAGACCTTTCTTTGGACACCTCTACCAAGTTTCTACGCCCAGCCGTTCTCTCAAATTAGTGGGGACAATGTTTCCAATTAAATATTTAAATTCCCCCATGTTAATCTTATGGGAAAAAATCCAACTTTGATGGCCTGTGGGGCAAAGCCTGAGGACTTTTATTACAGGAATTGGTGAAAGGGGGCGTCTACACAAATAATACTTTATTTTGACACATCGTTTGTAAATATCCGTCCATTATTAACGGAGATGACTAGTGTTTCGTAGAAATCACCTTCACGTATCTATATATATAATAGGCTAAGCCGTTTTTTGTTAATCAAACTCCTCCGTTATTATTACCCCGATTTTGACGTTTGAGGTCTCAAAATAAAGGTTAAAACGTGTAGTTGTGCCCAACGATATTAGATTTTTTATAAAGTCGTTGGTAAGGGCGTCAGAGGCCCTTAAAGTCAATTTTTTCTCCATAAGGATAACATGGGAGATAATTTTTATTTATAAAAACATATGTTTTTGGTTGAAAAATAGTCAAAGTCTACTACATAAGCAATTGGTGTGTATTATACCTGTTAATGTATATTAAGTTTAATCATGTTTTGGGTACCTTAAAGTGTACTCATAATGGATCACACTACTTTATTTTAATGTGAAGAATAGTAAAATTTAGTTGAGAGTAAGTTACCATGATTTACAAAACTGTACTGTAATATTTAAAGTCACAAATCTTTGACAATCATTAATTTGACATGAAACAGCTGATCTACCAGACAATTTATTTATAAATCAAAACAAAACAAATCCTTTACTTCAAGTTTGTTTCTATACAAAAATATGTTTTTTTATTAATTGTTGTGTATCCTAAAAGTGGCACCTTAGAAGATTTGGCTGTACACTCTTCAGGTCTTGATCCAATAGCCTTACACACTGATTGATCGGGCAACTACACACTGGAACACTGTTACACATTTGCAGTTCGCGGCCCACAGGCTATCTGTTAGACTTCAGTATTCTGCTGTTGTGGTAAGGTTACACTTCAATATATAGTTGAAATTTTTACGAGAATTGAAGGTGAACGTCTCGGTTTAGGGAACAGCCAAAACTTCGAGCAGAGCTACATGAAACTTCATGACGCAATACATGCACAAGCAGAAAATAAAAGAGTCAAAATAGGCTAAAGCTAATTGATTCCTTATTTTCCCAGCAAGATTGCTAGGAGTTGGATGCCCTGTTGATTTCATCCACCCAAACGTCGTTGAAAGTATACAAAATGGTCAAATAGACAAAGCTATTTTAGCTCCAAAAACAGTGTCTGTGGTTTGATCAACAACAAAGTTTTGGATAAATTACCTGGTGAGCCCAAGGTGTACGAAAGCATTGATAGTTTACTTGCAGATAATTTAAACACACATCTAGAATGTCCAACAGAGTTTTTAAACAATATAGAGGTCAGTGGATTGCCAAGACATAGATTGATTTTAAACAAGGGGGCAGTGTGGTTTTATTGATGAGGAATATCAATACACCAAAGAGCCTCATTAATGGAACAAGGCTCCAAGTGACCAAAATGGTTACCGGTAACAATTTATTAGAATGTGTGTGTTTGAAAGTCCTAACTAGAACAAGTGCGGGGGGACATATTTTGATTCCGAGAATAAAAATGTACCCGTCGGAAACAAACTTAACATTTAAAATGGGAAGATGCCAATTTCCATAAGCTTTGTCATTTGCAATGACAATCAATAAAGCACAAGGGCAATCACTTAAAAGAGTAGTACTGTTCTTGCCCAGACCAGTTTTCAGTCATGGGCAACTATATGTTGCTTTAAGTAGGGCTACATATTTGATGGTGTACACATATTCATCACGGAAAATTCTGACCAGGGTAATCTTCCTGAAGGTGATTTCACAAATAAAAACTTAGGTAGTAAGTTAATTCAAGGAAGTACTGTTGTCAATAAAATAGGGTTTTTTGTGTTTATTTTTAAAAGGGGTTTCTTCAAGAAGCATTTTTATGTTCTTCAAATATGCTACATATTGGTTTTATTAAAATGTTTTATTAAATGTGTTATAAAATCTTAAAATAACTATGAAATACTTGATAGCTTATTAATTTACTAAATATAAGACATATGGAGCTAGAAAATTGATGGACTGCTTTCCTTCTAAGGCTTCATTCATTACTGTATTTTATTTTCGACTCAGAGTCAATATATGACAGTGTGAATTTGTTTTCTAAATTCATGTATGTATTTTTGCGGCGCGTTGAGCCGCACGGGTTCACTAGTTATATTATAAGGATCCCAGTCCAGTGTAGGGTCAATGACGTCATTCGTTTATGTACAGTATATTATCCATACAGTTTCTGTCCTAATATCCGTGATTAAAACACTGCATTTAACTTCACGCTCGGAAGACTTCAACAAAACACGCTCATGTCCCCCTCCACCCTAAATATTTTCTATTACACGATGTTTTTGTCCTTAGTTAGTTTTTTTTTTGTTTAACTTCTTTATATATCACTTTTATCACTACTTTTTTTCAGACAGAATAATATGTTTCATGTTTTGAAAGCTCATGGCTTCCTATTTATCGACGGGAGTGTGCAGTGTAGAGCAGTGTAGATTTTGGACAGGTGTTTGTTTTAACTTCTCTGATGTTTAGAATAAACAATGTTAGCCTAAATATCAGCCAGCTGGGCAGCGACAGTGGTGGACTATGTTTTGACCACGATTACTAGGTTTTGACGTATTCTACCGTAATTGCTGGACACTTAACCTCAGCAGAAATGACAAAGTTATGTTGTGATGAAAATCCGGCTTTTATAATGCATTAGAAGCAGGGTCCTTTAGCTTTAGTTATGCCTTTCGAAGCATTATCTGGATCTCCTTTACACTTTTAATAAATGATTGACTACAAAGAACCAGCTTCATCCCATCCATTTAACACTCATTTTTATTTGACAACAACCGCTATAAAAATATTACTGAATCAGCAAACTGACACATACTTTCTTCCATTGTCTGGGCGAAACCCCTTATTCACACACACGGGGAATAAGTTATTCCCTTATTCACATAGTAAGCGGGGGGAGTAACTATGATATTTTATGGGTAAAATGAGAAAAATTGGAATAATTTTTAACCATAATTTTATGCCATCTTGGTGAGACCTAAACGGACCATTACATACTAAATTTTAATGAAAACCGTTTGACACCCCACTTTGTAAAACCCGAATTCCCCGTTATTTTTCAAAAGGTCGCCGGTTCGATCCTGAGAAAAGTCAGTAGCTTGTTGATGGTTCAAAACTGGACCCAGCTGTTCCTGATCATTGGGCTTTAAATAAATGATCCTGGCTAATGAAACAGCTGATCTTAGTCAGTAACAAAGCTACACAGATCATCTCACACCATTCTACACTCATCCTTCACTCATATTTGGGTTAAAATACGCACCTAAGTGGCGTCCCCATCTTAATGATTGATAATTGATAATTGATGATAATTTTATGGGTTTCTCATTATATGAAAATCACCATGAAAACCCCAAATTTCAAATAAATGAAAATCACCTGCAGATACCGTCGATTAGTACCCACAGACCAAATTCTATCAACATCGGATTATAAGTGAAGTCTGTAGCTCTGAATATGTGTGAACGAAGAAGTTGAATGAATAGTCAATCATGAGATGACTGGACCAGCAATTTTTGAATTAGAGGTCCAGCCCTCTAACTTTGCTACCAGCAGCACATTTAATTTGATGTGCCATCGTATTAGAATCATCATATTCAAATAAAATAGACATAATTTATTCCTTCCAAACAGTGTATAATGGAAATTGTGGTTTAGTACCTTGAAATTATCGCACACACTATTCTGGTAGTATACAATACACACTGGCCACAGTGACCTATCTGTATCAATATTCCTACTAGTTTTGTTACTAAATGATTAAAAATAACATAATTTAAAGTTTTTCAATTTGTACGAGTTGGTCGGAAAAAGATAATACAGTGGGCCAAAATAGAGTGTCCCAGAATTCTCTATTGGTCTTTTAAGATCCTGTATCAGATTCCTGGGTCAAACCACAGAAAACGTACTACTATAACCTCAAACACAAACCAAAATACCAATTTAAAATTGCCAAAACTCAATAGCTACTTGTACAACCACCATTTTGTTTGTTTTCCATGAAACTATTTTTTGATTTGAGGACAGATCTTTATAGTACTGTAAAATTAAATTTGGTTCATAAATTAATATTTCAAAGAAACATTTTTTGTAAAATATTATTTTATAGGAGTTTAGTTTCAAAATGGCAGTACCATAAAATTTTAAAACTTAATGAACACAAATACTAAATCGATAAACACAATTTTAGCAGCATGTTAATTTGTTTATTTAGACTTTTTACCACAATTCTAAAAATACAAATTTTCAAAAGGTGGTTAACATATAAGTTGTTAATAAATATTATGATTCTAGATACACTACCGTATTTAAGTTCATAATTATGGCACTACCTTAACAATTTATCGTACAAACAGCAAGACTGTATGTAGTTATGGTAAAGTGCGATTGTTTTTTACTATACGTCATGTACGATAACAATTTTACTATTACATCATTCATAATTATCGTACTACCTGTAAAATTATCGTATACAAACCCAAAGATTATCGTATACAAACCCAAAAAATTATCGTATACAAACCCAAAAATTATCGTATACAAACCCATAAATTATGGTATACAGTTTACGGTGTGCGGTGTGCAGATCGATGGTTTGCAGGCGCTCCTAGCGGGGCCGACGCGCACTATGTATCGCTGACGCCTGACCACGCAACGCGCAGCACGCAGCAGCGCGGCAGCAAATCCTAAACAATCCAACAATCCTACCAGTCTGTGTCGCGGTGTATCATAGAACCAACGTTGTGCGGACCCCGGCATACTCACCGCGTATTGGATCTAACACGCCGATGTAAGTAGCTTGGACTTCATTACTTTGTAGGGAAAACATACGGACATACGATAATGCATTTTGTCAGGAAGATTTTGCATTGGCACAATTAAGTTTTTAGGTTAGGTTGGAAGGGAAACGATTATTCGGTTAATTAAATCGATATTGTTGTGTGACAACTGTGTATTTATGCTGTATGTTATGTTAAAGTACGGGATACAATTCAGGATTAGTTAAGAATAATTCCTCAAAAGATAAATTACAGGGTTGACGATTTATTTTGTTTTTAAACAGAGTTAGATTATTTCGTGGTAAATCTAAAGGGAAAGATTTAAGTTTTGTTTTGAATACGTTAAAAATAATTTTAAACGATAAATATAAACGTAATTTTTAATATCATTGACGCTACAAAGTTCCAATTTGTATCCTCTAATAGTTATAGAAAAAAAACTAATTATAATGTGTTCTGTTTACAAATTATGAAACAAGCCAAGATTATTTCAATTTACTGAGTATGTTAGGTTGGAAATAAAAATAAGTACATACTGATACCTAGTGTGTACGGGCAACAAATTAATTACATTACCAATCTACATATTTTATGCGATTTGTTTGTACTATAATTACTCATCAAAACATGACTGATTGTTTTGTTGTTTATTGATTAACTAGCCATATAATGTGATTGTTACACATACTAAATATCGTTTTTGAATTGCTGAACCATTTAACAGTTCTAGATCCTAGAAGGGGCTTAGGACTAGCCCAATCTGTTCACACTTCTTTAATTAACATAACAAAAATTACTGCATGATGGATATCAGTGTAGTGGTTTCCCTATGATAAAAAATCGAGCAGCTAAAAAAACTTATTGGAACAGAATCCTCGAATTCGAACAACATTGAAATTAAAATCGCACATGTTGTGAAGCCATACATTTTCCAGCTAGCGTAACACGAAATCAGAATTGGTAGGGTTGCTTACATTAGGGTGGAGTAGACAGTCCCCCCTACCTACCCCAGTTTCCAACAAGACTAGTGCTTTACAGTGAGCTTAGCAATAATGTAGTAGATAACCAGAGGATGATAAGCACGTTATAAAATGGATAACTCATTAACTGTACGTGCGATAGACATGATGATTATTGCCGTGTTTTGCTTGATTGTGTTTGTTTAACCTGGTTTCACACTGTTTTACTGTTACGCTGTATGCGATGTGTAAAGTGGTTTTATGAATGATTGTGTGACTGAAAAAATATTATAGTATACGCTAACTGCAGCATATAAGTTATTTTATGCTTAGGTGTTTTGAATCTAACACAAAGATGAATGGGGGTCCTTTATGGATTTTAATTGTCTCTGATAATAACATGGGAACAATAATTGTATACATTTATCTAATTTGTAAGATGGTTGGAATATGTAAGCTTTGAGGGGGTTTCGGTGTGAACAAAACAAATATTTTGAATAACAAATTGAGTTTTACAGCCCCTTATGTAACTATATACTGTAGTATATATGATTTTCAGACTACTCCTTCAATATAAACACCAATATCTTGTTGGGATTTAAATAATTTAAACTGACACTATTTTAAATAACATTGCCATACCCTTAAACTACGCAAGAACTTACAACGATTTAAATTTCAAAAATTATTGGTTGTACATACATCAAATTATTTTGTATTTTTATTTTCCTTATGTTAGGGAATTCCGCTGATTTTCCCTGGGGAAAAAACTAAATTTTCAAATAAATTTGGTTTACCTACATAGACAGTCCCAAGCCTCCAAAATAAATCTCTGTAGTAGTTTATACCTTATCATAAATAAAGTACGCATAGTACTAACGTACACAAACAAAAGGAAATAGGAAATGCCTTTTTTGACCTTTGATATGCCCGGGTCCCGGGTCTGATGAAATAGATACCGGTTTGCTCATGTGGGAAAATTTCCTGCGGTGCTCTAGGTTTTAATATTTGAGCATTTTTACATTTGAATTAGTAGTTGTTTGAATGTGTAGCTGTTGTATGCACTTAGCAATTCCATTTGGAAACGAAGACATCGAAGTTTCCAGTATGAGGATTTTTTGTCCTAGCATGCTCTAGCTCGAGATTGTTTTCACATTACTTCTAGTTATGCCTAGGATTTGCTGCATTATCATCTCGATCAAATACATTGGCGATTGGCAGGATTTGAACCCGAAACCTCAGGAACCGAAGTTGTTTGCTCTACCTCTAGATCAGCTCGCTCCCCGTTATTGGGGGATTATAAAATCTATGGAATTAACACTATCCGTGAGAAGGATAGTCATTCGTATAATTTACATTCAGGGTTTACCAATCGAAGGCGGTTCGGATAGTCATTCGGATAGTACACTTTACGAGCCTGTGTCCCGTTCCACATTGTCTGTGGTCGAGGCATGGTCGTAACATTATCTTGCTCGTAATTCTTGCAGAACATTAAGAAAGGTCCGGGACTTTCGACACAAGTTTATGGATAATTGCCTACAGCCTTGGAGGGCGTTACCTTTCATAACCCAATTTTCTCGCTCTTTACACGTCGTTGAAGCTCGTTTCAAACTCATTAGCCGGAATTTCGCAGCACTCGACACCTAATGAAAGATGACAACATTTCGGACGGTGGTCGGATAAAAAGTGGTCCCTGAACACTGGACGATTTTTTAGTTTATGGTTGCACTGTTTTGGTTCGTTCTAGAATCTCTGAAAGTTTAAAGGAATTCGTATTTATTTGCGTTTCTGCCCTTTTTAGCGATGATTCTAATCGAAATCTCCGATATTCGATATTCATTACTTGAAACCAGTATTCGTACTTGAAACCCATACGTATTTTAATAGGTTCATTAACCAGCTCGATCCAAAAATGAACTGGTTCAATGGACTCAAAACCCCGTTTTTCGTTTTTTACAAACATAACAATTGAAATTTTTACAATTCAAGTTAGTGTAACAACACAAAAAGTTAATTTCATTATGCCATTCGTATTAGAAACTGAGATGGTATTAAAATTGCTTAAGTACGTTGTCTCCAATTTTTTGTTAATTTATCAATTAACATCCAATTTTATCATTAAAAATAGTAAATAATTCATTCTATACTGCTTGTTTCTGGACATAGTTTAATGGAATTTGGCAAACTGATTGTTCGTTGTTTTATGGCAGGATTTTAAAAGTTCATTTTAATCAATCAGTATTTGTGCCTAGTGACAGCAAAACTAAGTAATTATTATATTAATTGGGCTAATATCTACGTATGAATTCCTTTCAATATTCCCACTGTTTTAAAATGTTATCAATAGTTTTGGTTAGATACTAAAGATTTCTAGGTATTATGTGCTCAATTTCAAATTCGTCAGTAAAATTAAATTATTGAAACAAGCTTCAAACTAAACATATGTTTAATAAACATTCAACAATGATAAAAGATTCATTCAGTCCCAGCTGTTTTCGGCTAAAGCTTAATCACCCATAACCTAAATGGATAAGATAAGTGTAAGTTATGACTTAATTATACTATTTTCGTCCTACAGTGTCTAGATTTGATTAAGAAAGTGTTCATTTCGAATGATTTACTTGACTTATTGTAAATGGCTGCATGTATCATATTAGACCTTAATTTTGATTTTGACAATGGCAGATACAAGCTGAAACATGTAAACATGTACATGGGACTAATTTGAGCGTTATATAGGACTAAGGTATAAGGAATAAGGTATAAACTGAACCGAAGCTGGATTGTAAAAGTATTTTAAAGATATCAACCCATCTAAGGTATTACAATCAAAATTAACAATTAAAATCGAAGTTGAACGCTAGTAGTTTGATGGACAAGAATCTTTGGCTCATGCATCAATGGTTCTTCAGTTGTCTGCAAACTTGGATTGTCGCCGCTCACAAATTGTGATGTGGAAACTTTAATTTTGGCGTTTGAACAAATAAAAATATCCAACAACACTTCAATAGGTACTCTGAGTGAAAGGATGGTTCATTCCACATAACATTGTTACATATTAACATTTCTTACACAAATTTATGACATTCAAATAAAATAACATATGTAGATAAAATAACATAGAACACAATAAAAGAGCAAGTGTACAAAACGTCTTTTTTTACAGTGTCGACACAGACTAACACGAATGAAACTTTATAAATTTTAAATCGAGGTTTGTGGAATCTTCAGCAATTAACAAAACTTTGCATGTGGGTCTGCTGAGTTGCTTTATTTATTTTTGCCAAAGTCATGTAAACGAAAGCTGTATATTTGACACCCAGATATTGCTTCAAATGGGGGAACTCAGTACTTTTCAATTTTTTTTCGAAGCAGTGTTTCGTCGGAACATGCATTCAATGAACCGACCGGGCACATTCTTATGGAGCAGTAGAGGCGCATTCTTTTCGAAGTATTTCGCTAGTCGGAGTAATGCCTTTTGGAACAATTCCTTGAGCTGATGTAGTGATAATTTATCTTCTACGATCTCCTTTTTTTCTAGCTACACAATTTAATTTTACCAATTACTAGATTGTCTGATTCAGAATCCAGAGTCTCGTGGGGATCTTGAGTCAGTTTCCTGGCGCAGGATGGTGGGGTATCCCAGTGGACCTTGACTGAAGACTGAAGGCCATAGTGATAAACTGGTTCCCACTGTTATGACCGTTGTCATAGTGATGTACCGCTAATGCGCAGCTTCCTCAATAAACTTCTACGGAGATGAAGTACCTGACATCAAAGTAATACTTACGAATCATAATAATACTGGATACTATTCTGATCTGGGTTTCATAATGTAACTGATGGCTTAAAATAGCTCAGCATCAACCAAAAGTATTTTTTAAATCCAATGTTCTTCAGAGTTTGTTCCAAAAGTAGACTTCTCGCCCTAATGTAAATTATTCTGAAGTGTGATCGTACGCTGATGTCGACTAAACAGTTATAACGTATTAAGATAGTGGTTTCAATAAACTTAGTAGTACTTCGTTATACTTATACAAGGAGGACAAATC